AAAATACATTTTCATCTTCGATGTTGATATAAGTTATTTCACACATTAACTTGAGTTTCCCTAAGATCTTTGTTATTGCATTAGTGCCTTAATGAATCCATTACCTCTAGACCACATATGGCTCTGTGGTCTAGAGATAACTTACTTGCTTCGAAACCTCTGGGTCCCGGGTTCGATTCCCGGTCGAGGAACTGGGATTTTTTTCGAAAAGAGAAATTAATCTCAGTATATTCAGATATTGGATGTGTGTCCGTTGTCTCTTAATGTGTAACTCTCTCCCGCACAAAGTCATTCTAGACCTTCAGGGATAAAGGGGGTTGTAATTACATGTGGTGTTATTATATATTATTATATTGTTTTTTGTAAAAACAAGGAATGAAATAAATTGAAGCAGGACTTATTTGTTCCAATAACAATAAAAAAATGTATTTTTTATATAAATTACTATAGCAATACGTATATCGTCATTTTGCTAAAGCAAGAAATAATACGACTTATTTTGAATTTTACATAAAATTTCTCTGACATTTTTAATTTTAATTTGCCTTACACACAATAATAAAATGGAAACATTATTTTCACCGACAAAGATAAAATATTGACCAATACACGTTTTGTTATGGCTTTCCTTATTCTGAAAATGAACGCAGCAATATACTCGAAGCATATTTTTCAAACAACAATAATGCGTCTGCTGCCCAGCGTATCTACAGACATTACCATGATAAATTTTACATCAAGATGATGCTCTGTGCCACAATACACAGGATGTAGTTAGTTTTTTAAATAATACTTATGATGAGTGGATCGGAAGAAGAGGAACTGTTAGGTGGCCTCTTTGTAGCCCTGATCTAGGACCATTAGATTTTTTCCTTGGAGTTATCTCAAGAAGAAGGTCTATGAAACTCGAACCGATAACATTAACGAGTTGAGAAATAAAATAGAATATCAGATTAATTATCTAAATAGTCATCCTGATATACTTAGAAACGTCATACATCATATTTATAAAAGATATTGCCTTTGTATCGAAAATCATGGACATCATATAGAACAATTAATTAGATAGTTTTTTTATTGTTTGTATTTTTATTTTTATAAAAATTTCCCTTACCATACTCTGAGGCTTATTACTATTAAACTGTTGATAAGTAAATAACGTTCCCATTATTTTTCATTCAATCATTTTTTTGATAACATATGAAATTTCAAAAAACCCTTCATCCTTGTTAATATAATGATTAATATCTACCGACCAGTACTAATATTCGGTATTTTAACAGCTTATTTCTTCCAAACAAATGATATATAATATGTATATATCACTGGAATCGTAATAAAATGTAGATTTCAAAATACTAAAAATATAAAATTCCCTATAATCTGTTTTTTGAAACGCCTTTCTAACTTTAAAAATAACGGAAAAAGGGGGGAGGAGGTGGTAATTTTCGCGGGTTCACCCTGTACATTATAAAGCTGACTATTCATTTCTCAAGATGGTTTAACCAATTTATACCGGTTATATCCGAATAATTGCCTATGATTTCATTACAATCACACATCGGTAACAACTTTAGTTTCAAGCCCTTGAAACATTTTGATTGAATGCATTTACATAAATAATTTTTCTAAACGAGATAGAGATGTATAGAGCATTCGAAAATAGCTGTTCTCCACGAAAGGGGCGTGTTATGCGTTTAAAATTAAGACAAACATGTTTCGAAAAATACTTCTTCGAAGCGGTTTTGATATCGACACATTTCAGCCTTTCTCAAATAATTACAAGTTGTGATCTCGCATTACTAAATTCATTTTATTACGAGTGTTATAGCAGCTATGTAAATCGTTATTAATCAAAGGTAATAAGTTGTTTTTCACGTAAAAGTACAGTAATAGAAATTAAAGTGACAAAAGGCTATGCTTATAGATTTTTCTTTTATTCATTTTTTTAACATCTGCCCATATCCGCTACCAAGATCAATCACCGACGCCAAGAGACTTGCTACCCTCAATCTGTAAATTTTGCCGAACCCCTTCCCTATCGAAAAGTAGGGAATTCTTACTTGCCTAATATCTAATAGACAAAGGACCAAATACCTTACATCCCTTCCGAAGAATGGTATATCACCTACACAACTCTCGATTGCATAGATTCTTTGTATACACTGATATACAAACTGCTAGAAGACGGACGAGTGTTGTTAAGGCAGATGTACTCACGGTCCCAGGCTTATAGATCATTGTGTTATTTCTTTAAGTATATATAATGCAAAACATAATGAAGACAGTTTACTTGACAAATGGTCGAGATTTAATTTCCACCTTAAATCATTATCAATATATAAACCAAGAAATTTTGTAGTTGTAACATCTTGCAATGATGTACGATTCTGCTTTAATTAGGGAATTCTCATGATTTAATTAATTTTTTGCATTTAGGGTGGGTATAACTCGCTGTGTCTCAAACATTTACTATTATAGTGAAATATATGCAAAACAAGTAAAAATTACCTTTTCATACTTCCGTCATGGAATATAAGTTATTTTATAATGTTTTTTTTTGCAGAAGGTAGCTCTTTCTCGAACACTTTAAGTTTTGACTCTCGTTGCCATGACAACTGTGTGGCAAGGTCACGGACTGTTGCAAATGTAATTTTTTTCATGTTAATACAAAATTTACTGCATTAATTGAATTGCAAAATATAAAAATACAGAATTACTCAGTGTAAATGACTATTCTGATATACTGACAAAAAAAATCCTTTCGTTTTTTACTGAATGCTGATACGATCTAAACTAACTTTGTATTTCTCCGATAAAAAATGGTCGACATATGCTCAATTTTTTTGTAAAGTCAACTTGTATAAAAAAGTAAATTCCATTATGGCACAGCCCACTAACATATATTTTTAATGGCAAAATCCTTTGAACACTTATGAAAAAACAGTCAGAGACCAATTATACAGATTTATTTGTCACGCAAATATATTTTTAACAACCGATTTGTTTCAATACGAATATTTTTATTCATTTATTTTAATTAAAAATCACGAGATATCGATTTAGTATAGCGTATGACATTTTAGATTAATCAGTTTTATATGTCCCTATAGTGTTTGAATGCGAGTTGAACGAATTTGCATTACATTAAAACAAATTGTCGTTTGTAGCCGTAAAATAAAGGTTATTGGCAGATTAAAAGTTAATCATCGCAAAACCGAATTTGTTAGATTGCAAAATGTTTTAACCGCCCAGGGATTGATTGACGCTCTTTTAATCTAATTACATGTCATTCTTTTCTCCTTTTAAATTTTTTTCCAGAACACAAATTCTTGTAAAAAAAATAAGAGCATGGTGTATGAATCCTTTTTTTATGTACATCTTATGCGATTTCTACTGTTAATGAAAATTTTTTCCGCTTTCCTGTCATGGGACGGTTCTCCCATGGTTCCAATTCATATGGGAGTCTCCCTCACCAGCATTCTCATCTGACATCAAATATGAGATCAAATTCATTTGCGACTCTTTTTGCTGCCTTGAACAATCCTGCGCCCTCTGTAGTTCTGTAATATTTTACAAAGTTCTAAGGATGTTATGCCATACTAAGTAATACTCTGTCATACTATGTGTATGCTCTAAGCTCAAGAGTCCTCGTCTCCCTCGTTTATGTGGGAGTTACTTACGAGGAACGTTCGAATTACCAAATCTTTACGAGAGGGTGGGGCGGAGAGAACCCTTTATTTGTTTTATCTGGATGTAAATGTACACTCTGTATATTTAGGTCTCAACAGCACTCAGATATCGTCATAGGATGCTTTCCGCATATGTGGTTATATCGGATGCATACTCTGATGACCTACGAGTGGTCCGTAGTAGTACGACTGGGGTCGTACGAACTAAATGGTTTACGGCATGCATATATTTGCGACTAGTTTAGTTTAGTATGACGGAAGAAGACGAATATCTATTAACAACCAATTTTCTGCCTCTTTTACTGTTTGAAAATGAAAGAACATCCTGGATAAATAATATAAATATGAACAGAAAAGATAAGGGCAAGTTTTATTCATTTCGTTTGCTAGAGATAACCATAAGGTAGACGTAGTTTATACTGATTTCTCCAAAGCCATTGAAGTATAGGATTTGTTATGCGTAATTCTCGTGAGTTTTTTAATCTATCTACAAAAAATGTTGTATAATTCATTTGATCCTGATTTAAATTTATGAGTACTTTTAACATTATTCTGTTTCCTACCCTGTAACTGGGATTTTATTACGTTGGGTAGTTGCAGGTAACTAATAAATAAATAAATAATTTACGTGCTATATCACGATTATGATATTGTTTATCTATTTGTTCCCATAAAGCCTTCCTTTCAAATACACCTTGTATTAGTTTCTCCAAATCTATACTTGTCTAGGATCAAATTACAACGCAAGTCGTACAATTATGCAGTAAAAAAGCCGGTTTGTTTTCGAATTCTGGTTGTACAGACACGTACGTAAACTGACGACTCGCCCGCATAGAACGTAACCGAAATTCAAATTCAAATCCAAAACTATTTTTATTTAAATTAAATAAGGAACATTGTATATTGCCCTCGTCGGACATTCGGTCCATTGCCGACTTAGGATCCCCGCGTATGGTGGCGACGGGGCAATTGTTAAGTCAGACGGAGCGGGGCCGGTCCGGGCTTAGAACTAGAAACATTAAACAATACAATGCCTAAAAGATAAAAAACATTTTAAATTGTATAATAACATTTTGAACAATAGAAATCAACGATTCGTGCAAAAGCATACGACGCTGATATGAGACTTGAAATCAATGTAAAAAAATAAAAAGTAAACTGTAAAAGATTTCTGTATATAAATTTTGAATTTTGATGATGTTTTGACGAGCTAAGCTGCTGTAGTAAAAAGCTTGCCTCTAAATAATAGAGTACTGAGGGGAATCTCTAGTATGTTAGGATTAATTTCTGTTTTAGAAACAATCCTAGCTCTTCAACTGGGAATCGAACCCAGAACTCCAGTGTGCGAAGCAGATATCCTTACCACTCGGCCACGAAACCACACTGTATTACTTGTGTTGCCTTTGTTATATCAGTGCAAACCAACTAACATAATGTTGTACTTTTACAGTTATTTGATTACTGTATTTTGGATATTTCGGTTTCAGGTACCAATACCACTTGAGTATTCTTACAGAACGTAGAAACATCTTTTAAGTATAAAGTATATTAAGAATGAGCTTCTTGCCATCAAACATGCTTTTTAGTAAACCGTATTTCACAAATTGTTTTCGATTCTGTTTGAAATGATCAATTGTTAGAATAGAGCATTAGACACGGAATAACAAAAGACATACAATAATGGTATTGTTTACACCAGACAAACTATCGATTATACTTGGTGACTTGAATAGGTATCGTACACACAGATACATGGTTGTAATATTCCTTTATTTAACACCATTAGCAGGAACTTTAATATTTATTAAAAAAGTTAAATATTTAGTGTCATATATATCACTAAGCTGATTAGAATATTTGTAACAAAATAATGATACAGACCTATATCCACGTAGCATTTAATATCCTGTGTATATTCAAAAGAGATACATGACATAAAAATAACGGTCTATATTTGGATGTACAACATACATACAGTATACATAATTTATATACTATTGTGGATATTCGTAGGATATTTTTAAAACGTACAGTAGCTCCGTCGTGCTGGGATGTATATTGTGGGTATATATGTTATGTAATGTTGTACAGATATCACTTTGTACTACTATGTAGAGTATAACGTGAATGATGAATGCATATTTGAATAGATATTTAAGTGATGTCAGTTTCTTCTATTTGTTTATCAGAGTAGACAAGGAGCTTTTTTTATAAAATATGTAAAAGTATGGGACACGCAAATTTACGGACTAACCAAGCTTCTTTCCCACGTGTCTTTATTTCTATGCATTATTTTTACGCTTTTATTATATTTACTGTGAGGTTCACTGTTATTTTCCGTTGTGTAATGTAAGAATGTAAGTTATGTACATCTGAATAAAAATTTATTTTATATGTAAAGAATGCTTTTGTATTTTCTTTCGGTGTTACACATTAATCGCAATATACTGAAATCTACTGAATTTTTAAATGGCAATCTACTGATGAAAATAAAATTGACCTGGCAACTCTGAGTTAAATACATCTGTCGACATCTCAACGTTAACGGAATCAATTATTTTATATCCACCTCAGTTAATGAAACGAAAACTTCCGCCTCAATTTTTACTATTGTAAAAGTTATAAAAAAAGGATTCCCTGTATTGTTATGCAATATCTTGAAATAACTCTGTTCAAGCAATGCCCAACTAGGTATTTAAGAGTGAGATAACAAAATCGTCCATGGTTAGTTATGTTTATCAAAAGCACCACTCATAACAATCACATCGTAAATTTAACTTAACAAAATCAGTGATAGATATGTATTAGATTATCTGGACTGGACGGCATTTAGGAATGAATTGAAATGATACGTAGGTACGTAATCCATAACGCAGAAGCAACAATTAATGGTAAACAAATCTGATGGTGACATTTAATTTTCTACACATTATAGTTGATTTCTTATTATGATGTAAAAGGTTACTTTTATCATCGTAAAAGAACAAAAAGTCAAACAATATTAATTATTAATGACCACAACAATTTTACTGCAAATGTTTATAGTCCTTTGATATACATTAGGTGACAATGAATTACAAACTCTGATGGAGGCAATTTTCATCAAATAACGTTGTAGTAAAATAATTAACACGTGTATCAGTTAGTAATTATGGATCATGAAGATTCTTTTTTTTTTTGTATTACAACTTAAGTTTTCGAGTTATTTACCAATCTCTAAATGTAGTTTCATTTTTACTAAGATAGCTGCCGTTTTGGTAGTAAGGGCAACCAAAGTCTGACGTACAAATAATTTCATATTAAAAAAATTCTAATACCCCGACCTTGAAAAATATTGCTACATCCATCTTCGACCAATGATGTCCCGATCAAAAATATGTTCATCTCTATATCATTGGCTTAAGACTTGGATTTGGAAGGATGAAACAATCCTCCGCGAAACGTAAACCGTAAATAGAACATTCCGCAATATAAAATGTATTCTCACTCTGAGTTTTTATATCCAACTGAAAGACGTATTTAAATATTTTTTGTACAGATAAATGACACCTAAATTTTAAATGAGACGTAGGATGGAATTTAAGATTAAGTTTGAGTTACATGGATGTTATATACCTATTGATAAAATATGTATTCTAAATCTCTTTAATAAATACGAAATCTCTTCCATTTTATTTTTACGAGGTTTATAATATTTTAGCATATATTTGAATTTGTAATTTAGGAATAATAGATGGAAGTAACACTAAAACATTGGGCGTTGGGATAAAATGGTGATGAAATCATGAGAATCATCCTTTTGTTATTTAAATGCGTGAAGTTTTAATATTTAATTAAAATTGGTTTTTGGTAAATTGGATTTTAAAGTAATTTAAATTGTTTTAAAGTGTCCATGTATTTCTTTGTTTTTGTTTTAGGAATTAGTATTGATGGTAACTAAGTACGCTATTTTTGAAAGAATTGGTTAAGGCAGAAACTGATATATAATTTTTAAATTTACAATTGTTTGAGCGTAGAACAATAAGGAAAAGGCAAAAAGTTTTGCTTAAAGCCAAGATAAGCCGTGATTAATTTTTATATATTAAAATACAAATTGAAAAATACCTTCCGTATTAACATTCTGTAGACATGAGTTATAGGTAGCATTAGAATTTGTTTAAAAACTATAGTTGTTTATTTACCAAGTAAAATGCTAACTACAAAACTTGTTAAGGAACTTTATAAACATTGATTAAAAATAACAGCTATTTTTGTCAAGAAGAGGACTCAAGTTTAGTTTCAATATAATTGGTCACTTTTTTTGATTTTGAAATAATTCACTGATCTACAGCCAAAATGTATCCTGAACTGCCTGTTCCTAATCCACCACATAAATATACTCTTGATTCTGACAGAGTCGGATAATAATGTAGTGGATAATTTAACCCAGCCATCAACCTCACAAGATACCGATTTCTTTTCAGAACTGCCTGGTGGAAAACCACACAAAATTAATCAAAACATATTAAGTGATCTCATAAGGGATTTGGACGTGTCCAAAGAAAAAGAGGAAGTTTTGGCATCTCATTTGCAACACTCGAATTGACTCCAACAAAATGTTAATGATTCCAAGTACCGAGGTCTCTGGAAAGATGACACCTTTTTTAAATGAAAAATAACTTGGTAATCTGCAGAGAAATTGACGTGATGAAGAATTCATTAAGAGTTCTTCATAATCCTGGTGACTGGAAGGAAACTTTGTCTTAAAGCTGTGGTACTCCATAATGAAAATAAACAATTCCAATTGGTCATGAAGGAAATCCTGTAGGTTTCCTTGACATGAATTTATACCTGAAATCCATACAATACAAAATGTGTGAAGGGCAGGTTTGTGGAGACTTAAAAGGTACTGCCGTCTTACTTAAGGGGCCTAGTCGGGAAAAAGCTTCGGATAGCTGTGTCACTCTTTAGAAAGTTTTTATACATGCGCCGCTGAATAATTTTGCTCTTGACTATACCTTCACTGGACGTTTTATTCACCGACTTCATAGAGGTGCGATTCCCGATAGAGGTAACACTTCCTTGCTCCATTTGTAGTGACGAAGATACTTATTTAGAAAATTAATTTTAACCAAATAGTACGGAATAAAAGTTTGAAACTTGCTGAACATAATTATGAAGATTCATTCTAGAAGACATGTATGAATTTTACCTCGAATTTTACCGATTGAAATCATAATTCAGGAGCTAATCACGTTCAAATTTCACTTATATTTACAGTATAAAATTTCCCTACATAAAGTGAAAATTAATTAAAATAGATATACATGTACCCTCGAGTACACTTTCAACTACTGATCCTCCAAATTTGGTGTAATTTGACCAAACCGTATGGAAGAAATAAATTTTGAAAAATTATCTTACAAACACTGGTTCGATTAGCCCTCTTAATATGTTGAAAGAATATACAAAATATTACTATTTTCTTTGTAAGTGGGACGGTCGAGCTCGATTAGACCATTGGAAAAATAAATGTGGCCGCCGAGATTTCCTTAGAAACAGGAATAGAAAATGTTACTATTATTCCATTAGTTGCCCCATATAAGGTCCTATTTCTGCCACTCCATATAAAACTGGGGCTTATGAAACACTTTGTAAAGGTTATGAATAAGGAAGGACTTGCTATTTAAAACAAAAAAAATCCCAGAATCAGTGATGAGAAAATTAAGGAAGGAATGTTTGTGGGTTCCCTAATCACAAACCTTTTCAAGGATGCTGAATTTGATAACATACTTGAAGATAATGAAAAAGCAGCTTGGGATTCCTTTAAACTGGTAGCGACACATTTTCTGGGCAACAAAAGAGCAGAATGCTATAGAGACTTTGTTGTGAACCTTCTTTCTTGTTACCAGAGGTTAGGATGCAATGTCATTAAAAGTGTATTTTTTAGATTCACATCTAGTTTACTTTTCAGAAAACTGTGGTACAGATTTCACCAGGATATTTTAAATATCAAAAAACGATTTCAGCGCAAATGGAGTTCTGAGATGTTGGAAGACTACTACTGTTGAACGAATATAAAAAATGCTCCAGAAATAACTAAGGGCTAAGAAGTGCCAGAAAAGTGACTGATTTATTGTTTAAAATATATATTCTGATTTAAAAATAAAAATAAATTAGGTTTCCTTTACTTGGTAAAAGTTTAAAATATAGAGTGAAAGAGTGGAATGAAAAAATAATAACGCTGAAATTTTGTTTGCTAATAATTATTTACTACTTTTACAAAACTTATTATAGATAAGTACAACATATATCTTTTTAAACAATTATTTTCCCGACTATTTGCCAAAACGCTGAAACTTGGATTACAAAAAAAGATAATATGCACATTATGTTC